GACTCCGCCGTCCCTCCAGCGGGTGGACTCCGCCGTCCCTCCAGCGGGTGGACTCCGCCGTCCCTCCAGCGGGTTGGACTCCGCCGTCCCTCCAGCGGTTGGACTCCGCCGTCCCTCCAGCGGGTTGGACTCCGCCGTCCCTCCAGCGGGTTGGACTCCGCCGTCCCTCCAGCGGTTGGACTCCGCTGTCCCTCCAGCGGGACTTTGTCGTCCTCCCAGTGCAGCTTCTTTCCCCAGTAGCTGGAATCTTCCCTGATGAGATGGATCTCTGTCTGTCAGACTGGAGCAGGCAGCAGTTGTCGGGTTGATCGATGCAGCGTTTAGAAGCTGAGCTGTTGATCACATTTTCCACCCGTCTGAGTGAGAACTGGCTGCTGTGCTTCCTGACGTCAGAGACCATCCGTCCGTCTGTCCAAGCGCCGGGTACCAGCTCACATTCAGACGGTGGACGGAGTGTTTGGATCACAGTCTGAGATCAGATCTGGTTGTTGTTTTTCTGCGGTCTCTATGATGACCTTCGGCCCCTCCTGGACCCCTCAGACACCCCCTGATAGAACCTGGATCTATGATTTCTGATCTTTCATCCTAGAAGCGGTGATTAACTTTGCTTTTTTAGATCAGGATGAAGGAGTTCTTCACTTCCTCTGGTTGATTCCTCAAAGCAACAAGTTTGAGTCGATTTAAGCTTGAAAAAACGGATCTAAACGTCTTTAAAAAAGTATAATTACCATTAATTTGAGATGGTAAACTTATCTACCAAATAAATAATTTAGGTATTAAAGAAAGATGATTAGATATTATACACTTGAAATAAAGTTTTTTGTCTTATTTCAAACATAAATCATCTTATTTATTTGGAAAAGTTTTTACTCAGCTGCTTAAATGAAGGGAAAATCCAAATAGATTCATTTCTATTTAAATTTTTTTAGTGATCAACCAGGCGAGGGGCTCTGCTCCCGCTGAGGGGGGAGGCCTTAGAGGGAAAGCGACCTTCGCCTCCCACAGACATAGTCATTAAAGGGGAGTCCAAGATGGCGGAAAGCCACTGAGTTCGGGCCTCTGGGGAGATCCAGTTTCTCCTGATGAATCATTTCAGCTTCGCCGGCTGGAAGCACTAAAGTTCAGAAAACATCATGTCAGACGTTATGAAGCTAAGAGACAATGTTTGAAACCAGTCTAGGAGAAGATTTCTGGGTTTTTCCTCTGCTGAGGTCCAATAAAATCAGCAAATTAAAATTTCAAATGGATCCTTTTTAATCGAGAAGACGGTTGATCCTCCGTCATTCAGGTCTTTGGGTTAAACCTGAACTAAATAGAACAGAATAGAATTCAACTTTATTGTCTTTGCCACGAGTACAAAGCAACAAAATGTAGTTTTCATCATTCAGAAGTTTAAATACAGATATATTTATTTTGTGCACAGAGAATATTTATGTATGGACTATAAATAGTATATATAAACACAATAGTGCTAAGAGGCTATAAAATAAATAAATATGGAAGCTCTATACAGATTATACAGGAAAGTTAGGTTAAGGATTGTTTATATATATTATTGGGGTTATAATATAGGATAAAAATTTCCCCACTTTCCTTTGCTGGTTCCCTACAATTAATTTTTAAACAACAATCTTTGTACTTAATTATTCTTTCTCATGATTTGTGGACATTAAGATTTAAAGGGAAGCGCCATCTCCTGGTCAGACGCTGTAATTCAGAAAAAAGGTGGAGTCAGAGTAAAAAAAAATATGCAGGAGAAGGAGGGGGTCACTCCAGTGGCTGGAGGTTGGAGGGGATTGCTGGGAGATGCAGGAAAGTGAGCTGCCATTCAGCTGGCGTTTGACTGGAAAAGGCCATTTTGAATGGCGGCTACTGTAGATGCCGTCTGTCTTATCAGGAGTAAATATTCAGTCAGAAATCAGAAGAAAACTGATTATTTCTGTGCATCTGATCTCCAGAGAACCTGTGGCTCTGAAAAGAAACTAAAACTGAACGACTGCTTGCAAAATGTTTTAGATAACTTCTAGAATTAAAGCATCTTGTTTTTGGTTCAGTTTTCTTCTCCTAGTTAAAAAAGAAAACCTTTTCTAGAAGCAGGATAAACCCAGAGAGTCTGAGAATGATCTGCAGTTCAACGAGTTGAAAGAAAAACCTGCCTGTCAGCATCTGTAGAGCGAAATCTGCAGGACTCAGCATCTCTCCAGCAGTTAGATTTAAAGTTCTGTTAATGATCCTCAGTGGTCAATGAGTTCAAGCTGCCGTCTGAAGGCATCATCAGGATAAATATCACAGTGAAAGGAGCAGAGGATGAATGGAGAACAGACAACAGCGTGATGACGGAGAGCAAAGAACAAATGTGATGAAGATGAGGCAGAGAAAGGATGACGGCGAAGGTGAGAATTCAGATCAGGCCTCATCCATCTGCAACTGAAGCTTTCTGCTCAGGAAGTGAGAACAGCGAAGAGGAAGGAAGAGCACCGATGCGTTCTGTGAATGATGGAGAGGCTGCCATGATTTTAGCAATCACTTCCCACCCAGCTGGGCTCCTTTGTGCTGTCTGAACAGCTCTGCCTTCTCCTTCACAATCTGCACATGAATGTGAGCACGCAGCATCCATTATTAATTCCCTTCAGTCTAGAAGCTGATGTCCACGAACCAGCGAGTCGCGACAGCAGACTCATATTTATCCACATGCATCATTTTCAGCAACTGAATGGTTTATAGTTCAGGTCGTTTCGCCTCCAAATCGCTGCAGCTCTTATAGAAACCAATGTTGATGAATAGTTGCTGGTTAATCCTGGTTCCACTACTTCCAGTTAAGACTTTTATGAGAAAAAAAAAAAAAACATTTCTGGAACAACAGCATCGATACTTCGGTCTATGCTGTTGTAGTATAACTGCACTGCAAAAAAATGAAATCTAAATACGTAATTTCTTCTTAAAATAAGTGCATTTTTTCTTGAATTAAGGATTTAAGTGAGACATTTTACCAATGGAACAAGATAATTTACACTTAAAATAAGAAAACTCAGTTGCATTGTCTCATTTCAAGTGCATATTATCTAATTAATGTATTTTAAAAGTAAAATACTCCAATGTTCCATTGGCATCATCATCATCTCATTTATCTACTCAAATTAAGGGTAAATACACTTGATTGAAGACATTTTTCACTTATTTCTAGATCGTTTTTCCAGTGTAACTGGACTCTCCTCAGCATCTACACTGGAAAAACAATCTAGAAATAAGTAAAATTTCCTCAAATTAAGTGTATTTATTCTTAATTTGAGTAGGTAAATGAGATGATTTGCCAATGGAATGAGTATTTTGACACTTAAAATAAGATAATTAGATAAAATGCACTTGAAATAAGACAAAGCAATTGTATTCTCTTATTTTAAGTGTAAATTGTCTTGTTCCATTAGTAAAATGTCTCTTTTACCTCCTTAATCCAAGAACAAATGCACTTATTTTAAGAAAGAATGACTTATCTAGATTTATATTTTTCCAGTGTAGGGCCTTAGTGGTCTTGAGGGGGGGGGGAGAGGGTGTGGGGATGGGGGGGTTGTAACACGCTGCACCAAAGAAAAGAAAATCTGAAGAAAGAAAAACAGGTCACACACTACATCCGTGCGGCTGTGCAAAGCAAAAACTCCTCATCTGGAGCAAATAAGCGTAAAACCTCAGTGTCCCTCAGAAACCTTTCATCAGGAGAGCAGGACGTGACCCCCCCCCCCCCCCCCCCCCGGGATGGAAACCGGCTTCATTCAGCTGCAGCAACTGGACAGAGCAGAAAGTAATC